AGTACATGTATATCTTGGATATACAGTTAGATCTCAGATACCTTTGAAGTTAAGCTATATTAACTTAAATCTGACTTACCAAGAATTACAACTTCCTTTCCCAGTAATGATTGTAATATGTGATCTTGATGGTCAATCCAATATTGGTCAATGGATAGAATTAAATAGGTCCTTTGAATTTTATGAAATGTCCTAGAACTTTAAATAAGTAGCTTCAGAAATTTCAAAAACATTATCATCTTTTGAATGGTACTGCCAGACAATAGTGTGGCAGATGCCAAATGTAAATCACCACCATGTAGATGCCGATTCAGCAGAGGCTGTGAACACCATTTCTTAACACAATGTCCGTTGCACAAACCTGTAGATAAATATAAAATGTGATTCATTTTACATAAAAAAGAGTTCTTGTCTATATTTAGTGTGACCATTTTGTGTAGTAAATAGATACTTCTACCTATATGTTTATGTTTATTCTGCTAGCTAGTAAATGTGAACCCACTAATATTAACAGCTAACATATATGTATCACCACCAGTATAGTATGCATAAATAAGTCTAACAATTCAGTAACGTTAGTTTATACATAGACTGATAGGATGACAACATGCATGATAATGTAATATGAATAACGAATAATATCCTCCAGATTGCGAACCTCTGATACCTTTAAGAACACATCTAACAGTCTTGCTGATAATGCAGCAAATGTAGATTTGTAAAAGTAAAATAAATATTGATATATCTAATGATAATTGCAATATAAATGATGCTTAAAAATGCATATTACACTGGAATGTAACATATCTGCAATCTTACCCATTTTAAATACAATGCTGAGCCAACAACTTGTCTACAAACTGATATTTCTGTCCCACATCTCTTGGATCTGCAAGTAAGCGGCACATTTGTCTTTGCAATACTTAGAAGTGCACTGTAATAAACTAAAAAAAGAACTCACCAACAAAGTTAAAGGTATCTTTAACAGTATGGATGCACCAAATGTCAGGTACTTCTTCTATTTCTGGATGATCACTACCATCCTGCTCATCATCTGTGTTATCTTCCAAACAAGTGTTACTGTCTGGTCTTAAAGATAAAAAAAAATATGACATTTGATAAAATGCTGTAAAAAGAGATGGTTATACCAAATCAAGTTTTAGTATAAAAATCTAATATTTTTTTATTTTGACATGCATATTCAGAGATTATGATGAAAGAACACATACAATGATATTAACAGGAATTATGATAGTAGCTTCATTATCTTTTCACTATCTATTACACAGTTACATACATGCTAACATTTTAATTACATAAAAATTCTTTATTAAAAAGATGCTACAATTTTCATTACCTGAATGAAAGATGTAAACTTGGCTGATAATCTTCATCTGACATATGGTCATCAGCTTCAAAATTACTCTCAGAAACTTTTATTGTAAGACTAGAAAAAAAATAATAGTGTCAGGTCATGTTTAAGAATATTCCTTCCCCTCACTCATATCCAAGCTTTCAAACAATTGGTATATTGGTAGGAAACTTTTATAATTTGTTCTGTGTGTGGGAAATTACATCAGATATGGAAAAGTCCAGTTGTTACTTTCAATAGAATAATTATGATTAAAATAAAATCAGAAAAATATAATTTTGAGTCAGTGGCTGTTTAACTCAGTTGGACTGGTGAGTAAAACAGAAAATTCTTTAACATGGCCTTAGTGTAGTCTGTGTTTATAATACAATTTATTCATTTCCTTTCTGTGACAGCCTGTAGAGCTTCATGATTTCAATTATGCATCTATACTATATTTAAGCTATATTGTAATTACACATTTGTAACTTGTATACTGATACAAAGAAAAAAAAAGTTTTGTAGGAGCTACTTTCTCATTCATACACAAACACTATCCACTTACACACACACACACACACACACACAAACACACACACACACACACACACACATATATATATATATATATATATATATATATATATATATATATATATATATATATATATATATATATATATATATATATATATATATATATATATATATATATATATATAACTGTTGTTAGTTTAGTTACATAAAACATGCATGTATCACAATGGTTCATTTTCAGTTTACTTACACAAATACTCTCCTTTTATGTATTTATCACAATGGTTGTTTTTAGTATACTTACTCAAATGGTTTGACAAAACTTTTAGACTTTTCCATCAAAACACTTTCCTTCTCCTGAACTTCTTCAATTCCAGACAAGGCTGTATCCCTAAAAATACAATTTTGAAATTTGTAAACTTATATTAATGTTGAACTTTAAAATCTTTACAGTATTTTTTATCATTAATCAACATGAACAAAGCATTATCATTTATCATGGTTATTATGATTGAAATTAGATGTAATGCTTCAAATAATAATAATAATAATAATAATAATAATAATAATAATAATAATAATAATAATAATAATAATAACCATACCTTATTTGCAGTGGGTGACTCATTTAGTCAAGGACTATTCTCTCTTGAGGCTTGTAACTAAAATACCCACTGCACTATGAGCATTGTTTTAAAGCAAATATCATTTGCAAAAATATGATACGAGGAACATTTATATCTTCTGCTTTAGCTACTTATGCCCTTTTTTCTCCCAAATCATTCATGTTCTTTGTAATTTATGTTTACAAATGCCAGCAAATAATATAAAAAATATCATTCTAACTCCTAGTCTAAATAAATGTAAGGCACAAGAATATAAAATAAATAACATGCCATTTTTTATTGTCAAATCTTTACAGAATATTTCATTAATATAAAATGACAAATTTCCATGCAAATTCCTAGATATGCATATACCAAAACATTGATTACAGAAATAAATACACATATGATTTTAATACTTACACTGTAGCCATATCTGATTCTGATGTGGTTATATCAGACACAGCAGGAATGGGAATCTGATGAACTGTTAGCCCTGGTGTAAAAGTTGTGGCCATGTCTTTTGAGACATTTCTCTCTGTTTCTGGCGCATCTCTTACCTTTTCTCTTTTACTGCTGTTCAATTCATAACTAAAATGAACAGGGTAAATAAATGTTACATTTCAATCAATAATTTTATATGCTTTACATATAATTTTATGCACAAAAAATATTCTGAACTGTATTACATTATTTCTCTTTACAATCACCACCATATATATTATCTAAAAAATCAGTAGTGACTTCTTGCATCTAAATAGTTTTATGGTTGCTGCGAAAATGAAGATGATCCTTAATACCCTTTTAGGTTTTTAGGTAGCCTCAATAACAGCAGTAGTACATGTATGTTTTACACGATATGACCTGTACTGGCTATATCGATGCAGGACTGTAACATTTTATTGTAAGATGAATGGAATAATGTCAGCTTATAAAAAAATATGTTAATTTGAAATATTTAATAGCGAATTAACTATACAGAAATAAACGGCGGTATCACAAATCTGACTGTTCATTGCAAAATTGTGACTTACCTATCCAGCAAGAATTTGGCGACCTCTGGATTAGTTCTCAAGCCTATAGGGGACTTCAGTTCATTCTATCGTACATGCTGGTCACCAATACATATGCGCGTGTTGCTGTAATTTGCCCAGAGAACTTTCTTATTCTTTTTCCTTTCAAAATCCGTAAGTTTTCACTTTCTACCTACTTTCGATCTTGGCCTAGTTGCTTCCGCCATTGTTGTTTGTAAACACACGTTTGCACCTGGCTAAAATTCTTAATCTTCGGCAGAGGTCAAGTAAGAGGTTACATGAATAGAGGCGTGTCAAACGGCGAGTTTCAGTCTGCCAGACAATAATGAAGAATCGCGTTTTTTATCACAAAATTTCTGATACTAGCGTGTTTTTGGCCTCAGTATGAGCCCGAATCATAATTATTCGTCCAAATAAGTACTTATGAAATGAAAAAGAAATATAACATTTCATTCATTTTTAATTACGTTGTATGCCTTTAAAATCAGAAGTGGTGTTATGTCTAAACTAATATATTCGTAGAGACCATTTGTGCCAGAGCAAAAATTGTTCGTGGACGAATTGTCAGGAATCGTTCAAGGACAAATTCCCTGCCAAAAACGTTTTTGACGTAGGTGGGAATGTGTGCTGCAATTCGGTGTTGTACTATTTGAAATAACACTTGCACTGAAAGCCGAAGACTTGTTTATATAAATGCAGCGGTAACAAATATATATATATATATATATATATATATATATATATATATATATATATATATATATATATATATTTATATATATATATATATATATATATATATATATATATATATATATATATGGTTTACATCCGCATTTCAATTTTGCGAAGGTCACCAAATAAATGAAGTGAAAAAATTATCACCAAATGATTTGGATTTGGTTTGGTCTGGAATTTTTTTAACGTTGTTTTAACGTAGCTTCAACAATTTTTCAGTCATATTGCTAAGATGTCTGCAGTGTGGCAGTTTATAGTGACGTCTAAGCACTACAGCATCATGCCGAAGACATATAGCATGATGTCCCACCCTGTCACATTATCTTGACACCAGGCCGACCAGTCCTAACACTAACCTCTTAATACTGAGATCCGAGTGAGGCAGCTGTTAAGACCATTTTTGAAAGTCTTTGCCAGTGCTTTCCAGCCATTTTTGACTCCATGGGTCACTGAAAATTTTTCTTGAAGCCAAGGGCCGCAGCAGAAAACATAAAAGCAACTTAATATAGTAACTTACTAGTTATTTGTCATTATCATTCGATAAATGGCGTTAGATGTAATTTGCTATATTTGACTTTGTTGATCCCAGCTCACGTGATTATCTGGTTAAGAATATATACTTCGAAAGTAGGCGATTGACTTTTTTTATACATAATTGCACAAAAATTGCTCGAGCTCTGGCGGCCATTAAAATCAGCCCGCGGGCCGCAGGTTACACAGCACTGTTCTTTGTTAAGACTTAGCCGAGGATAGAACCCAGGACCTCCCGCTTCCGAAGCGAACACTAACCACTAGGCCACCGAAGCGGTTTATCACCGAATGTCGTTATCACATAGTTCAAGTGTTGTTATCACACAGTATAACTCGGGCAAGATCAGTATTAATAATGCATCGTATGGGAATACGATGTTATGGTCAATACGAACTGTATTCTGGTCTTATGACGTAACATTAATACAGCAGAAGCTACATATTGTTGTTGTTGTTGGGCTTAACGCCATTTTCAGCACACGATAGGCTATTCATGGCGGCCAGTATTACTGGTGGAGGAAGAAACCGGGAAATCACCGGAAAGAACCACCGACCCACGAGAAGCTACTGGCAAGCTTTCTCACCTATCCACATTCGCCGAATCCTAGACTCGAACACACGCAGACAGAGGTGAGATGGCAGTGATCCGTAACGGACAGCGCTTTAGACCACTCGGCCACTCGGGGCTCCTAATTGTAATGAATTCTAACTTCTGGTTGTACCCATATTTCATTATTGTTTTTCCTATAGATTTAATTATGACATGAACAACAAATACATAACCAATAAAACAAGCAATCTTGTTTCTTCTTTTCCTTAACTAAGACATCCTCTCGTTCAAATATCGAGGATGTTTTAAAATTATTTTAAAATCTTTATTTACTTTTATGGATTTTTGTGACATTTGGTACAAACAAAATTGGTCTCTATTAATATCGCTACCACCCCGAGATTTGACTTTGGGTCCTAATTTAGAAACTGTTCGTCTTCTAACCATTAAAATATAAACACAAAATATTTATCATAAATAAATAATCGCTTTAAAATTAGCAACTGAAAGACAGTAGGCTGAGGCCGCGAAAGGCGAGATAGACTGTCAAAAGTTGGAGATACATATTGTCCTGCTGTTTGTGTTTGTTTGTTTGTTTGTTTGTTTTTTCTTCGTCAGATAAGCGGTCAGTAGGGACAGTGACATGTTCTAAGCGATACGAACGCCACGTTATCTCGTTGATTACTGTTTACCGACAAGTAACCTCTAACCTACGTAACTTTAAAATTGCAAGATTATTTTATGTGCCGAAACACAAAGAAACAAATATACATGATAGATAGAAAAATTGTTCGTTTATACTATATGTTTCGCAGCACATAAATACGTGAAAGGTTATATCAAATCGAGTCAACTTTAGTAATTGTCACATTCCTTACGTGAGCAAGACACTAATTTCAGTTAAACAGATAGATGCGTTGAGACATAAAATAAATAAATAGGTAAATACTACAAAGCAAATTTTATTAACGTCCTCAATGTATATTTATCAGAAACAATATTCATAAAATAATTATATTTTATTGTCAGTAAAATAATGCTTGCCATGCAACTAATAAATACGTTTCTGTGCTTTTTCTCCACCTACTTAAAATTTCTTTCACACAAAACATCTTTATTTTTCCACCTGGCATACTGGCCATACAGACTGAACATTACTACTGCCACTACTACTACTGCTACTATTTCTTCTACTACTACCACCACCACCACCACTACTACTACTACTACTACTAACAATAATAATAATAATAATAATAATAATAATAATAATAATAATAATAATAATAATAATAATAATAATAATAATAATAATAATAATAAGGCAAAAAGTCGTATTCACTAATTTATCAAAGTTCAGCTTTACCGGAAAAAGGAGGACGACAAAATCAAAGTGAAATATGCATAACAATAACAGCCACATACAAAAAAGAAAAAACAAGTAAGCAAACGAATAATTGAATGTACATGAAAAAGATGAATTGCCAAATATATTAATACACAAAATAATGAGAATAAACAAGAATCTTTGCAATATTCACTAAAAGAGCGTAAACTTGTAAGGTAACAAAGAAAAATGTATGGTGTTAATTAACAAATGAATTCTTTGTTTCGCATGTGAATGTTTTAACTGGTTCCAGGATGAAATTAGTTCATCGTGTGAACATAATAAACTTTTAACGTAGTTGACAAGTGTCACATTTACCACAATTTGAGACTTGATGTAACAAAATATTTATTTAATCTGCCAATATGCTAGTTAGTTTATATTGGTATCTTTTCTTCAAAACATCAATATAAAATATCATAATTAAAATAAAACATTAAACAACTCTCAAATGGTATAATAATACAGACCTCAGACAACTTTCAGATGGTATAATAATACAGACTCTCAGACAACTTTCAGATGTATAATAATACAGTCCTCAGACAACTTTCTGATGGTATAATATTAATACAGTCCTCATACAACTTACAGATGGTATAATAATACAGTCCTCAGACAAGTCTCAAATTGTATAAAAAAGTAGATCTAATACAACTACCAGATGACATAATACAGAAGATAATAGACCATTCACTTATGCTATGATAAATACAATCTTTCAGAACTCTCAAATGACATAATAAATAAAACCGTAGATAATACTCAGGCGATATAATAAATAAGACCTCGAACAATTCTTAAATGCCATAAGAAAAAAAGACATGAGACAACTCCTCAGATGCCATAATTATTATCTCCTTAGATAACTCTAAGATGATATAATAATATCTTAGAGAATTTGTATTAGGATATCAAATTTGGGTAGAAAAATTAAAAAGTATGTAGGACTATGTTGGCCCTTACAAATTGGGATTAGTTACAAATTGAATAACATGGATCAATTTAATGACTTGGATGTCATAAAAACAGACTTACCTTAGACGCCGTTTTTCACAAATGTAATCCTAAATAGCCTGGTTCAGAATTCATAACAATACACGATTTACTCGCTTCTTTTCAACTGAACGAATCATTGTTCCTGACAAATTGAGATTAGCTACAAAATTAAATAACCTTGTTCAATTTCATACCTCGGACGTCATAAAACCGACTTACCTTAGAAGCCGCTTTTCACAAATGTAATCCTAAATAGCCGGTTCAGAATTCATAACAATAAAAGAAATACTTGCTTTATTTTCACTGTAACAAAATTAATCAGCCGAACAAATCAGGTTTTGTTTTCTTTTCAACTATTAATCCATGTTAGGAGTGGTAATCCATTTCACGAGTGGAACAAAAAGACGATTTACCAAAATTGGCCATAATCCATGTTAAGAGTTGAACAAAAACGATACCCTCTTTAAATAATAAACTCAAAATGGACATTCTGATTTGGACACGTACGTTAATGAACAAAAGCGACAGCCTCTTTACAATAATTAACTCAGAATAGGCATTCTGATTGGGACACGTAGTTATTCCTCGTCATTTCGGAATATATAAAGGCCCAGCCTATCTGAAAACTTCAGTCGATTAAGTTCCAGTCAGAGAAGAGTGTCTGTTGTATTTACAGGTGAGAATTTCCTATTACTTACTTTAAAGATTTTTTTAGTAACTTGTAATCGCAATATGTTTGTGATTTCTCTTTTTATGTACAATTATAATGTAATATAATATTTTATTGTTTCTATGTTCATTTGTATGAATTCGTAAGCTTCATAATATTCTTTAGACAATACAGTATAATGTCCAGTGATCGTTGCAAGTTGTTATTCTAAATTATATGAAACAAAATATATTCCTTGAAATGATTATAATATCAGTCGTAAATATTGAATTTTAGGCTTTTTGAATTCAAGCAATATTTTAATCACTTGTATCACATTCTGCAGGGAATTTTACAAGCATATGAAGTAGTAGATCACAGAGAAATTATTCAATATGTATTGTAATATGTAAAGTAATATATATATATATATATATATATATATATATATATATATATATATATATATATATATATATATTTTATATATAAGTGTATATATATATATATATATATATATATATATATATATATATATATATATATATATATATATATATATTGTATAAATAAGTGTATCTTTAGAACATAGTTCATATATATCAATAAAAGTCGTTAAGTCCCAGTCAGAGAAGAGTGTTTGTATTTACGGCTATCTCCGCTACCTCTTGCTGCCAGAGCTTCCCCAAAAAATGTAGCTGTATCGACACCATTACGCATGACACCTTGTCTTGGAGAAAGTCCGAATTCCCCCCATTTCTTTCTATTTTCCCTTCTAGCCACGCAGTAGAACATTGCTAAGTGTTTACGAAACAAATTATTCAGATTCTTCACAATTCGTAAAAGTAGTTTCGTAAAATACCTCCTTAAATAACTCTAAGATGATATAATAATATCTTAGAGAATTTGCTCATGATACAAGATTTTAGACAACTAGCAATGATATAAGAGCTAGACCCCTCGCACGTGATGTAATAAATAAGATATTACACAACAGTCAGACATAACACATAAGACCTTGGTCATCTTTCAGCTGACATATACAATATGACCTTGGACATCTTTCAGCTCACATAAAATATGACCTTAGACATCTTTCAGCTGACACAAAATATGACCTTGGACATATTTCAATTGACATAATAAATATGACCTTGGACATCTTTCAATTGACATAATAAATATGAGCTTGGAATTCTTTCAGGTGACAAAATAAATATCTTGGGCACCTTTTAGATTACATAATAAATATAACCTTATACATCTTTTAGTTGCCATATTAAATATTACCTTAGTCTATCTTTAAGTTGAAATAATAAATATGACCCTAGACATCTCTCAGACCTTAGCCATCTCTCAGGGGATATAATAAATGAGAACTTAAACAACTCTCAAAAATACTTAATAAATAAGACCCTAGACAACTCTCATTGGACACTGTTGTTGTTGTTAAAGAGTTTAACGCCATTTTGAGTACAAGATATGCTATACATGGCTGCCAGTATAACTGGTGGAGAAAGAACCCTGTAAATCTCCTGGAAGAACCACCGACCCATGAAAAGCTACTGGCAAACTTTCTCACATATCCGCGTTAGCTGAGCCTGAGACTCGACGCTACATAGACAGAGGTTAGATGGCAGTTATCCGGAAAGGTAATCTCTTTCGACCACTCGGCCACTCCGAGCCCCTAC